ACCGTGACTTCGAAGTTTCCGCGCAACGCGGGGTCTGTCTGTTTCGCATTACACTGCCAAGAAGCACGGTCCACGAGTTTCCGTTTTATACCCCGGTGAGCCGGCGCGATTATAAGGGACTCCGGGAGACAAGACCGTCCTAAATTGCAGTCGAGTGTTTCGCAACTCCCCCCGACGCGATGACGATATTCCCGGCAGATATAGTCCGCAAAACCCCGCGCCACGAGAAATCTCTCCTCTCCTGTATAATTCAACGGGACGCTACTTCCTTATACGTCCGTAAGATAATTCCCATTAACGGGAAGAAAGACGAGGCCTTCCTTCGCCGGGGAACTTCCGTATCGCGTGTACCGCGCGCGTTGTTCGCCGAGCGAGCGGACACGCGATGAAACTTGCACGAGGTGCGTGCTGCTATCGCGCCGGGGAAATATGAAGCACGGGAGAGCCGCGTTTTAATCCAAAACGCACAGGTTGTGTGATCGCCCGATTAATTTTCATCTCCGCAATCGCGCGTTCTCCTTCCCCCGGCGAACTCGTTTCAACGGACCGCGGCTTTTTCCCTTCTTTCGCCGCTCATTATAGAATCCGGGCTCCCTCGAGAAAAAAAAAACGGACCACTCCAGCGAGAAGAAGTCGGTATCTCTTCTACATCTTGCGGGACGGTGGCGGTCGAATCGCGATCCGAGGAACCGAGATGGTCCGACGCGTTCTCGAGAAATCGTTTCGATCTTTCGGTCACGGGCTCGATTCATCGCGCGGGAGGGACGCGGGAAAGGGTGAGCGAGGCCGGCTGCTCTCCGGCTGCATGAGGGAAAATCGTGCGAAATAAAAGCATCCAATTTCCTGCGAATCGCTCGTCGGATCTCTCGACGGACTTCCTCCTTCTCCACCTCCTCCTCCTCTTCCTTGCTCCTCTCGCCGCGGCGTCCGAGTCCGGTGCATAGCGCGAGGAGAAAGAGCACGAAGGGTCGGTTCGTGCTTTCACGGCAGGACACGAGAGACGCCAAATGCAGTCGGCGAAACGTGAAACGCTGAGAAACGGGAAGTGGAGGAAGAGAGGAGGAGGAGGAGGAGCAGACGCTGCGAACGATTGTAGGGCGGCTCGTCGTTGCTGAACTTGCGCGAAGAGCGGCGACTTCCGCCTTTATTCTGGCGCGACCTGACGTCTCAATTATTTATATCGTTCCACCGGTAACACAATAAAATCTCCGTCTCGCTTCTGTCCCCGATTTCACGCGCGATCGCTCGTTACTCGTACCTGCCCTCCTCGAATTCGCTCCCCGAGCCGGGGGAGATTTCGGCGCGCAAACGGCGAAGTTACCTGTGGAATTGCACGCGACTTTTCGGCGATTCTCCCGAGTTTGGCATTCCGACGATTTGCAGCCGACTCGCCCGGAATAGAAATTTCAACAAAATTCTTAGCGCCGCTTCGTCCCTTTATCATGTAAATCACGTTCAGTTATATCGTGTACCTAGACAACTAGGCGTTATGTACCTCAAGTGACAAAGATAACAGCTGCCAGCAATGCGGAGCACGTTCCGACGTCGCGTGACGTTCGCTTATTTACACTGCATAATTGACAAGACCACTATTTCCCGGATATCCTTCTTCGTTCCTTCTCATCGGTTTGCGCTCTACCTCGCATTGTTTTTTTATTGTTACGATCTCCGCCGAACCTCCTCTTTCTCTTTCGCTCTCCTTAGAACGATACTTTATCCTCGGAAAATATAGTTCTCGTTCTCCGTGTTTGTGTGTAACGAGTAGGGAACAGGCATCTCGTCGAGTCGCATCGCGAATGTCTCCGACGCGATTTAAAGTTTTGCGAGCTAACGAAAGAGAGGGAGAGAGAGAGAGAGCCGAAGGCTTACGTGAGTAAGCCGCATCAAAAATGAATATCTTTCTTTCTCGGACCGGGAAAAGACGGGCTGGAAGTAACGATGGCCATCTTCTGGCGCCACGTGGCGATTCAATTATTTATGACGTCTCTTGTTGAGACCCCGTCCTCGCTAGCCGCACACGCTTTTCATTGTGATCCCGACTTTGCTCTCTACTTATCGGCTTAGCGTTCCTTTTCCTTGTTCCTTTTCGCGAACGTAACGTTTGATGCTGCCCTATACGTCGCTTCGACTTCTGCATCGAACAGAAGCACACGTGTCGCCATGAAAAGACATCTTCCTCGTCGAATTCGCAATTTTATACGCGGGGCAATTTTATTTGCCATTATTCCGTATTAAATAGTCAACACCTTACGTGCCTCAAAAATCTATAAATTAACGTATGTCAATTAACGAGAATAATTTTGTAATTGTGCCAGAATTTATCCGTAAATACATGTAAAATTTCATTATATGTTGAAATTTTCCTTTCACACGTCAAGTTCTCGAGACGTTAAACATCGTTGCGTCAAGCATCGGAGAAGGTGTCGCGGACAGCGCGATCAAGTGCACTGTTCTCCGGCGACATGTCAACGGATCGAAAGTTTTAGTCGACCGGATTACAGGGGGAGATGTATGTCGCGCCCGACGACGCCAATAGACATCGGAGGATCGCGCGACGCGATCGGCTCTGCCGTAGCCATCGAAGCCCGCAAGCAATTAATTCATAAGCGTACGCTCGGCACAATGGTGAACTATGGCGGCACATATCCGTCCCTTCACGCAACAATGGCACGCGAGCATCCGCACGTTGCGCGAATTGTATCAAGATTTGAATGAGCCAGAGTTGGCGAGGATAAAGGGCCGCGCCCTTCGCGCGGCGAAGGTATTGCCGCGGGGGACACACGTCTCCGCGATTGTCTCGTTGATATGTTAATTAACGTTATTGATGCTAAGCAGGACCGCCCCGGGCATCTCGATACGAGTATCTATTAAATCCTGCCGAACCGCGGCCCAGAATCGAGGTGACGTGATAAGCTTAAACCGAATCGCTCGAACAAACAGTTTACGTTATTACACCTTGACGAGACACGTCGGTAGCGCGCTCTATGCATACCAAAATCTTCGCACGTACTGTCAACAGAGAAAATTGAAAAATTCTCGTATCACATAGAAATAACCGAAAAATTGGATTTTCAATTATCACAAATTCGACAAGTCCCATTGATATTGTTGCAATTTAATTCATTTCCGTTAGTGTCTTTTTCAATGAGCTAATGGATTGAACGAAATGTACAACTTCTTCGTTGGATGTAAGGACAAGACATTTAAAGAAATGTCGGAACTCATTGACAATTTTGCTGCAGTGTTGTTAACGATACAATTTCAGTCTTCCTTGGTCGTTAAATCGCAGTAGTGGTGACAGACACCGCGAAATCCTCGGAAATCTTGATGGATAATAATCAACCGAGCGTGTTATAGCGCCGGTCTTCCCTCTCGCGAAGATGAGGCGAGACGGCGGGCCTGTGATTGAATCAGCATGATTCCCCTGTTGCGTATTACCCATTGCGTAACCACCCGTTTCCATCTCGCCCGCCGCACGGTTCTCTCTCATTTCACCCCTGCCCCGGGAATCCCGGTCGACGACGCCTCGGGAAAACGAATCCTTTGAAGTCGCCTGTAATCGAAGAAGTAATTTCAGCGCGACCCTCGCTGGCAATCGTTTTCCCAGGGCTCGCGTATAGAGTCGCGCGTCTACCGCACGAAATGTTATTATCGGGACGTTATTATCAAGGACCTGCTCCCCTTGATAAAGACAATTAGCGACGTAATCCGCGCAAGGACCAAGGCGGGCGAACAGGCGGAATTGAGAAAATGTATGTTCAGCGGCGTTGCCGCGCTGTTAAGCACGGCGGCATCTCAGAAAGCGCGAGCCACGCGTGAATATTTTCAGCAGTTCAGGAGGTTGCAAGGCTCGGCGTCATATTTTTCGTGTATAAATTATGGACTTGACACCGCTGTATTTTCAAAACAAAATGGTCAATAAAATTCTGACATTCGTTTATAATTGTCTGTATATCAGTCTTTAATATCATAATAGTTTCTCCTCAAAGTCTTAATTTTTAGAAAATATTAAAAACAGAAATTAAAAACAGCACGCTAATCTCTCAAGGAATACGTATAAAAAGTGTCAATTGTAGTTGCAAATATGTCATATCTAATAAGGTCAATCTTTCTCTAATTACACGAACAGCCAGGTAACTTTTCAGTGTATACGTAATGCAAGTTTCATCAAATTCTTATCAAAATCATTTTACCTTACAACCTTCTTAAAGTACATACATATGTACGTACATATTGCGCATGCATGCGTGCGTTTGTATCGTTCACGATGCGAAGACGCGGAAGAGTGCTCGCGTCGCGGAAGAAATCAGGAGCGTGTATAATGAGACAACTCGATGTAATCTGAATTCAATCTCACTTCGCGCAAGTTAATTCGAGCAAAGTGAAAGCGTTACCACACGTGGCACGAAACTTGTAGTTAACATCAAACTTCGCATATTGGATTGTTCCAAAATACGATTTCTGCCGGAATTCAATCTGGAGGCGGCGCAACTGCCTGACATTACAGAGAATAAAATCGAATTCGAAGCACGTATACCGAAGTAAAGCGTAGACACCGTTTTGCAAGGTAAAACATTCCCAGGGAAAAAACCCCCTCCCGTCCTTATCCCGACCGGACCGGGGGAGTTTTGTAATTTTTCCGGAATCCGCGAGATAAAATCGTAGCGAGCGTAATAAATAATTAGGTGCCGGTAGTACATCTGGAAAAATAAAACAACTAATTTGAACGCGAATTGCAATGGCTCAGCCAAAACTCCTAATCCGGCGCCGTTGTGAAACAAAACGCGTCCTCCTTAAAATTTTAACAGCGAACGAAATTCAATTCACCGTCGTGCGACGCAACGTTTTCTGACGGTGAATCTCCGGCGTTCTCAACTCGGCGCGGCACGGCGGGACGGTTAGGATGGGGACGTCAGATCGGAAATTGCCGAAATTAATTAGCGAATAGCATAGAAGGGAGTAATGGCTGGTTACTGGATGGATCGTTTTTTTATTTGCAGGTGCGAGGGCGGCTGGCTGCAGCTCGAAGGCAGCGCTCGCGTTTGCGGTCGCAACCAACGCTTCGACCGGCCGGTCGTGCTCTTCTCGGACAAGCCAGTTGCTACCTTACACATGCAGTGAGTACCGCATCGACATCGTTCTATTTCAGTTAACGACCGGTTTTTGCGTTGCCACTTCGTTAAGCTAAAAGCGATAAGTTTGCCGCGATCACCATTCGCTTCGCCGTTGCGAATATCTCGACGAGCGCGTATGCTCCATTCAAGTTCTCCGCGAAATTCACCACCACCCCGATGCACGTCCTCGATGCTCTCGGACAACGCGACACGAGCGTTTTTAAGTCGATTATTTGTTCCCGTGCGCGCACCCAAATTCCAACGAGGTTATTTCCGTTCACTTCGTCAATGCCGAAGTTGCACGAAGAGCGTTCTCGTGTAGGGGAACATTTTACAGAGCCTATAAACTGAATATGAGCAAAATCACGGTCTCGGGCAGCCGCGATCACGTCGATACGCCCGTCCGCGAGGAAAAGGAAGATTAACAATTAGTCACGTTTTATGTGTAAATTAATGAGACGATGGGAGAAATCATAGTACCGGTCACCGGTGCCGGCCGAATGGCAGTCAATGCGTTAAACCAACTCACTTGCCTGTCGCGATTTTCACGGACACACGAAACGAACGCATCGCAGTAAATGAATAGCGAGCGTGTTAAGTCGATTTAATGTCACTGTGCGAATTACCGTCCTCGTCGCCGTCTTGGTGCGCGTGTTGGTGGTATTATCGAGGATGGGAGACGAGGACGGACTGGAGAAGGGTAGGTGGAATTCCAACGGCATTACGAAATACGAACACGTCCTGAGTTAAGTGCTTCTTACTACCCCCGAGCCTCCGCCGCTACCATCGTTCTAGTTACCCGAACGTAACGCTCGTACATCGAATTTTACTCTTAAATACCATTAGACAGGGATATCCGAGAGATTGAATTCGCGATCTCCGTATTCTCTCTCGGGATCACTCAATTTACGGCCAGCGCGCCGCTTGTGATAAATCGGCCCGATCCCGATGGCTTTAGAAAGTGTAGAAAGGGAAACGACACGGCGGAGTGTTTACACGATTCACGCCTTATAAGAAGCGATTTCCATTATCAAGTGGCCCTCTCTCGCTTCATCCGCAGTTTATACTCTCTCGAACATCACAACTCCCCTCCCCCCCTTCTTCCCGCTCTCGTTCTCGGCAGGGTTTAATTTAAATGCAAATTGATTTACCTTTGATAAAGCGAAATGGGGGTTTCTCTGTTTACTCCAAAGGCGAGAATTATTTTTTAAATTAGCTTCCTTGACGGCGGCGGCACGCTCACCTTTTCTCACTTTCTCACTCATTCTCTCCTGATCTCACACCCTCTATTTCCCGTAACCGTGTTTAATCACCCTGAAACTTCTGTAAAAGCAATAACGAGAAATTAATAGCTATTTATGGTCGATGTACTTTGAAATATTGCGAGAGCGTCAAGCAGCTAATGAAAATGGAATGCAAATTAATTATTATGTTCGATAAAGTATATCACACATCGATTTAATATTAATATACATGCATTTAGTGCGCGTACATAATTGCGTAAAAGATAACAGCATTTTACGAGCGCGCTCATAACGCTATAAATCATAACGGATTAATTTTTTTCACTAATTACATCCTCCCGTGACGATCGTGCGCCGATCGCTCTGAAACCGGAGCGGCAATCTGCGCTCGAACGCCCGCGATACTTTTTCTCACTGCGTGTGTACGCATCTAGGAGGAATTGTCATAACACGAGCGTTTGAGGGCGCCGAAAAAATCTGAATAATTGATTGGTACATATTGTTGGGCCTCGGCGGGGAGTTGGTAAACGTAGGGGAAAATTACGACTCGCAAATTCGCTCTCGTGGGTAAATCCGCCGGCGCGACTTCATGAGCGCCTCCATTATTTATATTTCTTAATTGGCGCGTACGGAAAAAGCGAATGCCGGGGCAAATAATGTCGGGCAACGAGAAGCTTCGTTACGGATCGCTCATTAAATATTTATGGCGAAATCAGCATCCGCGATATCCACGTCGTCGGCTAAGGTCCGCGTATACATAAAACATCAGCAGTTTGCCACGCAACTCGTTTCTTTGACCGCGGGAGCAAGACTCTTCGAAGACATTCCGTTCCCGTTTCTCCGCCGCGATTTTATGCCCTATTCTTTCTCGCGTTTCCTTCCATTATTTTACGTTTCTTTCTTTAACTTGCGCGCGCGTGCACGCGACGAATCTCGGTCGAAAAATGCGCAAACGTCACGCAAGCGCGCGTCGCTCACGGCATATTTGACAAATTAACACATGCGGACTCGGCACAGTCGGAGCAGCGGTTAATTTTATTTGCTTTCATGATCTACTGCGCACAAACTGAAAATCGAGAGATCCGCGGGAGTAACGCGGCGTAAAATTGAATTCCGCTAGCCGGTCCTGAAAGTAATTTCATTGTCGAACATGATGTCAATAAATTTGTGAGGAAATCGCGCTTGATTTCTATCGCAAATTGCTTCACGTTTCCATAAATTACACGCGAATGCGGACGCACATACGGCCGGAGATAAGATAATAATTGTTTCAAATATTACCAATGCAAAACCCAATAAGCATACAATTGATACGCAGCGCACGCGTTGTAACGTATAATAATAATACAGGCGTTAAAGAATTTTCACGCGCGACAAAGTTCGCCAACGTTCTTCTGCCTTCCCTTTCTCTTTGACTCTTGCGGAAAGATTGGTGTTTAATCTTTTTGAGGCCCAGTGTACATGATAAAGTACGTGAACTTTGGACCTTCCACCAAATTTCGTCTGTTAACACAGTGATGGTTCCGCCGATATTATCAATCCGTCCTAAATAGAGCAGTTTTCCCCATTCTAACTCGCAATAATATTTTATTAAACGTTGCAATAGTTATTGAACGTCCCGAGAGAATTATTCTAGGACAATAATAAACGCTAATTTCTTTTCCTCTCTTTATCTCTCTATTTATTTTGTTTTTTATTTCATCGCACACGCAACTACGCAGTAACAACGCAAGAAGCGGTTACAATATTTGCCATATAGTTGACAACGATTTTAATTCCAACGGAATGCTGTTTTAATAGTACCATGAAACCCCTGAATACTGGGAGAAGACAATGGGAGCGCGAACGCTTGTATTTGTCGCGTAACAATGGACAAGGGAGTTCGGAAGAAATAATCGCCGACGAGGGAACGGCGCAGCTTTTGACCCGGAAATGTCTCTCGCGTTATTACTCGGCACTTTCTCGGCGCGGGGGCTCCGAAAAGCGCGGCTCGACCGGTATGAAATTTATATAAGTTGGGAAGTTGAGTGTAATGTGGCAAACCCGCCGCACGCGACTGGCATAAATGTGTCAAGAAATGATTTATGGCATTTAACTTCCGCCGACGGTCACGTGTGAAGTTAACAACAAATAGCAATCTATGAAGCCACGATGCGCGATGTGCGTGTCTAACCGCGTCTGCTGGTGCTCCTGGTGTGCGGCTATTTCGAAAGCGGATCTGAAGAAACGAAGCCCGCGGTGCGAATTTTTTTTCTTTTTTTGCGAATTTCCGCGAGGTCGGAATTCTCGGCGCCGTTTAATCGGTTAAATTAACGAGCCGAAACAACTCGAAATTCCGACGCGGAGGGGATCTCGAAAGTACACAATGCACGCGCATAACGGCGCATAATATTTTTTAGCATCGCCGGCGAAGTAACGACACATATCCCGCCGAATTCGAGGCAATAATCGGATTCCCGTGAAATTTCAACGCGCTCATTTCCATAACTACGTCCTTTTATGTCGCCGTGAAACATTGAAATGGACTGAATTATTCAACCGATAATACGCGGCTCATACGCGGAATACGGACGGAAACTTTGTCCGTTATGTTTCAACATATTGCATAATGCACTTTAAACTACGGTCATTGTCCACGTAGGATATAAACCGTAATAAGGTCAATATACGATCTCGGTTTATCGTATAACGGCCGAGTACTTTCGCGATATTGCACGGCTGTACGAAAGTCCGGGCTCTGTTCTTCTTTCACGAACGTCAACATGTCAGAGATTTATCCGAACGTACTATCTCTTTTTTTTTTTTTCGGAAATCGAACATCAACCAAACAGAGAAATAGCGACATATGCAAGAGAAATATCGAATAAAGCGACCACTCGACGTCTAAATATTTATTGTACTGATAAAGCTCTGTTTATACCGCGAATCGTCAAATAAAAAAAAATAGAAATAGAAAAAAAGCGTTCTCACCGACGTTAAAATATCGGCTACACATTTACAGATCGCTGCTTGCATTTCCCGGCTCTCGTTCCACCCGCATCGTTGATTTTAATCGATCGACAACATTTAATCTGCCCATCTTTTTCGGTATTTGTTTATTTATTAAAAGGGGGATCTGAATTTTGCATGAATTGCGGACACCTCGGGTGCATTTTCGGCATGTTTTTCAAAGCGAACGCACGACTTCGACACGTCCGTACATTACAATATGCAACATATTCCGCGTCACGCAGCCAGCCAGGTGGGAGATCGGAACGAGAGCTTCGTCGATTTTACAGCGATGCGATACAGTACGACATACTCTCCTCTGGACGTGGCATCTCGCAGACCCGACTTGGTCCGTTTCTAATTGAACGGATCCGACGTGCGACCTTAGCTTTGTCACGAACGTGACGAATCGCATCGTGGATCTCGCGTGACAGGATAAGGTCGCGTGTTCGCTAGATCGTGGATGTTCGATTACGCTCACAATGTACCGTCGACGTCGTTCGCCAGTCAGCTCCGAGATATGGCACGTATATGTCAAATACACTTACCACGTGAGACACGTGTGTCATACATATCTCGGAGCCTCGGACAGGCATCGTTTAAGTCGGGCATTTTATTGAGACAAACCAGCGTATGCGTGTGCATACACGTGGATACACAAAATGGAGCAACAATCACGGCCACTTTGAATATCTTCGAAATATGAGAGTAGGAAGAAATTAATCCAACGGAAAAAAAAAAATCACAACGATGCACGGGGAAAAATAATTT